TTGGGGAGTTGGAACTCATCTTAGACAAATTTTCTTCTCCTTCTTTCTTTTTATGTGCATTAGAAGTTGAGATCAGTTGATATTTAAAATTTCCTCCAAACTCATCTCCTGCATTTTCACGCTGAGCAGTTTTGTGATCATCTCCCTTTTCTCTGAATCCCTGAAGCTGAGACCAGCCTGGCGAAGGGCTTTGTTCCTGGACTGCTATCCTATTAAACCTCATCCTTAAGGGCCAGTTGATGTCCTGGTAGGATCTCCCACCTGGGACCAGCTTCTCGTTGCCGGGCCCCACGAGCGAGAATGCCACGGCGCTCCAGCCCCGCGCAGCCGACATCCTCGACGCGCAGCGAATGTTGGTGGCTTTACAGTGTGAGTCTGCCTTCTTTTTAAAATGGTTTAACTGTTCGTGTTGACTTTTGCAGATGAGTGCCTCTGAGGAGTTGGACGAGATGCCAATGCCAGATTCTGAGAGTGTACTTGTTATCCCCGGGAGTGCTCTCCTGTGGCGAATAGCCCCACGGCCTCCCAATTCTGCCCAGGTGAGACTGGGGCTGCGGCAGGCGGCCCTCCTGTCTGTACTCGGCTCCGAAGGTGCTCCTTCCCCGGCACGTGCAGGGCCAGCCGGGCAGAACGGAGAGGAGTGCAAGCAGTCACCCAGGTGCCCCTCAGCCCCCTCTGCTGGCCTGTGTGCCACACCCCTTCTCACCGCCCGAGGCCTGGGCGTCTGTACTCTCCAACCCTGCTGGTGGGGAGTGTTGTGGGTGGGACTTAGAGGGGGCTTTAGTAATTAGGGGTAAGACTGGCTCTCCTTAAATACAAGATGACACAACTTCTTCAGGATAAGCTGCTCACGTCCAGCAGATAGTACCTGTAGGCAGTGCAGACTTGGGAGAAGACGCTTAGCTGTGTGGCCTGAGAGAGGCTGGCCCCCACTGCCCCGAAAGTGGGGGGGGCATTTCAAGTCACTGAACCATCAGGGGTTTTCGTTTCCCGTTATGCCATGGAATACAATAATTTGAACATTTTTCTTCCTTTCAGATGTATAATTTTACTAGCTTTGCAATGGTTTTGAATGAAATGGACAAGGATATGGAGAGTGTGATTCCTAAGACAGACTGCAGGTTACGGCCTGATATCAGAGCCATGGAAAATGGAGAAATAGGTAAGTAGCATCTGATGGCACTGCTGGGGAACATGCGTTTGTTTTACTCCTGGTGATGGTTAGCATCATTGGGATACAGGCATTTTTAATCTCTCTTAGAGATTTTTGAATTAAGTTCAATAACTTTTGTGTTAAATTTGGAGATTTGAGGTAGGCCTTAGTAACTCATATCATTTTACTGATAAGCCATCATAATTTAATGTGCTGCTTATGGCCAGAGGCATAGTGTAAATGTTAGAGGGGAATTTGAGAAAATAATAGCATCCTTATCAACTTTAAACTCTCTTCTAATTATTTTACTATATATTTCAGGCTTTACATACCACCTCTGAGGTGGAAAGAGGTGCCTGGCCTCCGTTAATTGTAACATTTTTATCCTGTGGTGTTAAATTCCTCCTCAGTAGTTCTCAGCAGGGGGGCAGGTCTCCCCCGGGGACGTGCAGCAATGCCTGGAGGCCTTGGGTGTCACGTCTGGGGAGCTGCCCTGGCGTCTCATGGGTCTAGGCCTGGGCTGCCGCTGATAAGCATCCGACGACGTGCAGGCAGCCCCCCACAGACAGTCACCTGGCCCGGTGGGTCAGGAGCCCCCACGGCTGAGCAACCCTGTTCCGCCCAGACGCTCTGATGCTTTTTGAGTGATCTGTGAGACTGTGCAGCAGCTTCTTGGAAAATTGTTTGAATTTTGTATGAATAGAATCTGAAGGAGTTCTGTGAGGTCTAAGAATTTAGAAAAAGTCCATGTTTATTCAGTTTTTCTACCCAGTTTTTCCCTGAAGTATTTTAACACAACTTTTTTGGCCTTGAGAAGAAGCAGGCTCTTTATGGAACCTGCAGAGGTTGTAGAGAGATGACTGGGTCTCAGAGACTGTTCTGCTTCCCACGAGCAGGGGTGTGTCATAGCATCAGCACCACGTTTGGCCCTGGTGTTTGTGTTCTAGTAAGAGGAAGACCATGGTGATACACACGGAAGGCGCTTCTCTGTAAAGTTAATGTGGCCAGTGCGTGCCTGGCGGTCTCTCTCTCTACTTGGAGAACTGTTTGACTTTGATGTTTTTGTTTCAGATCAAGCTAGTGAAGAAAAAAAACGACTTGAGGAAAAACAAAGAGCAGCCCGCAAAAACAGGTCCAAGTCCGAAGAGGACTGGCAGACAAGGTGCGTGGCGCCCCCACCCCCCGCGTGGCAGAGCTGTCATGTGGGGCAGGCGGGGAGGGCGCAGGGGGGTCTGCGGGGTATGGCCTCCCTGAAGCCCTGCCAAGTTGCTCCCAGGCCTAAGAGAATAGTTATTTCCACCGACTAAGTAAGTATTCAAAAGGAAAGAGTTGCGTGTGTGACAAAAAGGACTACTTGGAAATCAAAGTTAAAATATTTCCACACAATTATTGCAGGTATTTACCTAATTAAGCTAATATCTTTCTTCCTTATCTGACAAAACCCTGTTCTTTCCCTATTTAAGAGGGACACTAAAATCTAGCCTTACTGATGTGGCAGTAAAGTAGATTCAGTGTCAGTAAGTTGCAGAGCATTTGCTTATACATATATCGTGTACCAGGGATATTTAGGCAGTGCCTTTACTTTTCCAAGCACAAGGGATTTGATGTGTAATGGATATAGGATTTGTATAAAGTAATCTTGGATTCCATTCAGAAATAGAAAGTGAGCAATAACATTTCTCAGTTTTGAAATTTTTCTTTTTGAAAGAACCAGAGATTATGTAGAGATTAACATGGAGAAAATTGATACCCAGGAAGATGTGGGCTAATTTCAGTGCATTGTGTGTATGTCATATAGTATATTTGAGAAGTCATGGTCTTTAAAATCAAGCTCAAGTTTGATGTCAGTTAGAAGCCTGGGCAAGTTATTTCACTTCTCTGACATCCAACTTCTTTGAAAAATGGACTTTTAAGAGTTGGAGGGGCATTTACTCTGAATCAGGCACCTTACCTGTGATTATAGTATGTTGTAAAAGTTAATTTCCTTATCCTAGTTCCTTACTCCCAATTGCTTAAAAAGATGCCTTCTAGTGGGAGAGAAGGAATGGGGCTAGAGAATGAGCAATTAGACAGATACATTGGTTCTAACCAACGCACTACACAGAAGATCCTCCTGCTGTGAATGCTGTGGAAAATCCATAAACCTTTTGCATGGTATTATACCTTTTGAAGTGTACATACATGCTCTCTACAGACGGTACCACTTCTTAAAAGCCTCTTTGGAAATCCCTCACTCATAGAAGGGGGTGAGTTGGTGGAATAGTTGGTACCCAGTGATTAGTTTCCCCTCTAAAAGTCTTTTCTTTTTAAACAGGTGGTTCAATCAAGGTCTTAATCCTTACAACGGAGCACAGGACTGGCTTTACTCTGGCAGCTACTGGGACAGAAACTACTTCAATTTGCCTGACATTTATTAAAAAAAAAATGCAGAAGAATCAGGGCATTTGGCTAATCTACAAATAAGTCTTAAACTTATGTTTTTAAATTCCTCTCCTGGGTTTCTACTCATCTTTTAAAAAAAGAAAAAAAACCTGCTAATGAGATAACTTGCATTTCATCCAACAAAAATAGGGTCTAAGGTGGTATTAGTGATGAAAGTCTTAGAAAAAATGGGTGATTTTGCCATCCCAACATACTTGTTTGGATACTGTTTTATAGAGGTAGGAGAAACTGCTGGGGAACATGCTTTTACAGCTGCTGTTGTCATACTTACCGAGGGTTTATGCCTAAGTGTAACTTTAGCTTTATGGAATTATATAGTAATCCCAAATCGGGTTATTTTGAATATTTTTATGCTGTCATGCTTGAATGTTTTAGATGTAACCTTGAAATGTTTATATAGTTCTCCTATATAAAGTTTATGTGCTCAAATGTAGAGAGGTTGTCATTTTGTAAAGACTGTATTAAAAGATGGTTTTGTCATACTAATCTTAATTTTACTGCACTTCCAAAAAGAATCAAATGCCTGAATATTTCATGATTTGAAAATTCTAAACCAACCTATATTTTGCTTATTTTAATGCTCTGAATTTACTTTAAAATTTTTGTGATGTCATTAGTACTAAAAGGTGTTTGAATTGAAAATATACATATATAATCTAGCAATTCACAAAAATGTCCTAGAAATACAGATTTTAATCAACATCATGACATGACAAACCTTTGAAATGCCTCCAGTGGCAAATGCCAGCAGAGCGGTTGAGTTGTACTCATGTATTATAAATACCAAGCTATGTAAGAGATCATCTTGTGCACTGCAAGTTTGCAAGGCACCTGTGTACTTAAAATATATATGGAGACCTACTGTACAGTAGCTTTTCCCCTTTAATTGGGGCACATTAATCTTGTATTTATCCACCCAACCCCAGACTGAGATGCTGCTCCAAGGAGTCTTAGGTAGCTGCCAGTAAATTATTTTAATTGCTGTGAAGTTAACAAGTGTTATAATGAAACAGTGTACCTGATGCTAAATAAAGGCTTTAGAATGTTCAAAAAAAGTGTGATGTCTTTTACACCTAATACTGTCCTAACTTGGCAAGAGTGTCCTTGCAAAGAAGTCCTGTGGCACTGCTGTCCCAGGGCCAGCCGGCCACCTCTCATGCAAAGTGCTCAGCAGGCAGGCAGCACTCTGTGGTGTCTGGGCGAATATGGTGTTGTAGTGAGGTGCCAACCACAGAACGATCAAGTAGGGGTACCTGACTGGGCACCACTGTAGGGGGGGGCTGCAGTTTTCTTTATGATATAGATATAAAAGTAGGAAAATGCTGTTGTGTTCTACATCCAAAAAGATTTAAGACCTGTGTTCAGTTGTGTATCTCCTAGATTACAAAATAATACAGGTTTTTTGCTTGCATGAAGTTTATTGACACATTACGTGTGGTGGTAGGCTTCACTTGGACGTCGATTCAAACAGTGTCATTTTCAGCATCTGTAAGGTAAATAGTGAATTGTTTAAATCATGAACCTGAACATGAGTCAGGATCAGAAATGCAAGGCCATCCTCCTGCTCTAAGCTCTTACTTAACCAGTTACCTGTGCATGAAAATACCCTAGTGTTTCACGCTGAATAAAGCCATGTTTCAGGCTTCATGTTTCACTTCCACAAAAGTCTCTGGAGGGGTGAATAAGAAATGCATGCAGCCCTAAGATACTGCAATGAGTTGTCTCCTCAAACTTAGTAATTGTAGCACTTGAACCTATGAAGAAAATCTAGCTTTTGTCCATCAGCTGTTCAGCTTGAAATGCCCACAAGTATAAGAAACTGAATTTGCTGGGGTGTGGCTATAACCCTTGTATGACATGTTCTTGTCTCCCTGACTGCTGATCCTTTTCTGCATGGCAGCCAGCAGATGGGTCATTCTCTGGCTTCCCATTGAACTGCAGTCCAAATCTCTCTGGCTTACAGAGACCCTGAATTGTATGGGCCCCTCTTCACATCTCCAACTTCATCTTATGTACTCTCCCCAGCTCCTCCCAGCCAGTCTCATTTTGCCCTGCCTGCAGTGTCCTGAAGCCCCAGGCTCTTTGCTGCCCTCAGCCTCTGTGGGCTCTGCCAGGATGCTCCTTCTCCTACTCAGGTGTCATGTTACATCGGCGCCTGAGCAGCCTATCTGATAGAGGGCGACTGGCTCAGTACCTGGCTGTGCCCTTTATGTCTTGTCTCTGCTCCTCCCCACTCCTTAAACATGCCAACTAGATTATAAAGTTCCCACATTTTTTTAAAACTACCCCCTTTTTGCATCATCTATGGGGCTAGACATAGAACCGGTGTTGAACGGTGACTCAGCTGAGCGGGTCATGTCTTAGGCCCCAGGTGGCTGGTATGCGTGGTTAGGGTGTAGCGCACTGGCTGGGCTTTTGTTAGGAACCGGTGGCAGGGAAGCTGGAGACAATACCACGTCACACTAGAGCAGACCCCAACCTACTGCATATCTCAATTCAGTCTTTAAAAACTCTTAACCTGCAGGTCAAATCAAAATGCTGAAAACTCAGCGGTGTTCAGGGCCACACATCACGGTAGGAAATGTACCTACCAGTTTTGAGTTTCTGCTTTGTGAACATGGGCAGTAGTCACAGTTATTTCTCCAGCAATACCATAACTTCCAAAGGGAGTATGTTTGTCACTAGATCCTGAACCTTTTTCAGCTACCTCTCCTACTGGGAAAGCAATGGAAAGAAAAACCGGGCCTTGAGGCCTGGGGACATCTTGTCCACTTGTAGAAGGACTGCCATTCTGGGGATTTGGGGTATGTTTCTGGAATTTCTGATCTTCAGGAACAGCAATGGGTACTTGTAGTACAGCATATCTCTTCAAGGCATCTGACTGAGAAACCATAGCATGTCCAGGGAGAGGTTTCCAGTCCGGAGCCTCCTGAACATGTGACCCTACTAGAATAAAAGGTGCCGGGGCATTGCCCTTCTTGCTGTCTTTCATCATCACGTAAGCTGGAGAAGTGACTTTGGGTGGGTGCTGCAGGAAGTGTGGCTCCTTAGGATTAGATAAATAGAGGATTGCTTGGGGGAAAGGCCCAGGTGCAGGTGGCGGTGATGGGCGACTTTGTTGATTCATATCAGTTAGACAGTAAAGGGTCCACTTGTTAGAATATGGTGGTGGTTGTCCTGCTTCACTTGCTGCTATTGCTATAAAAAAAATTTGCAGGCATTAAAGGTTTGGTCTCTGAATCAGGTGCTATGCATTGAAATGTAAATTTTTTTTACATATGAATAAACAGCTGTAGTAATATGTGCCATAAAGCATGCTATAGAAAGGGCTAAATTAAATTGTTTGGTAACGTGAAAGAGATTCTCTACAATTGGATAATGAGAACAAGGTTGTGACAGCAAGTGGCAGGGGACCCAGGAGCTGTGGCTGAGGAAGCACTCTCATTCTAAGCTGCTGTTTCTAGCTACTTCAGACATGGCTTCTGCAAGGTCCTCAGGCAGCGAATGGAGAACTAATATTTTGGCTTTACCAAATAAAGTCAATTGAAGAGCAAGTACATCAAGCCATTGAAAAAAGTGTTAGTGCATCTGTGTAAAGATTTTTTTATTTACATTAGTTTTGATCACATAATAAAATAGCTCTGGCCCATCACTGGCATCATTATCTCCCATTAATTTGTCATCACACACAAAACATCACATACTCTAGGACTCAGACCCCAGAGATCACCCCTTTTAGGCAAGGCTTGAAATCACCAGTCCTAGGCAGCGGGAAAGGGCTGCTTGGGCCTACAATGGCTCTTTAAGAAGATGGTCTGGAAGTACCATCCGTCTTCTCAACACAACACAAGGAATCTGTGAACAAAGTTTGAGTTGCTTAATGAGGTAGTCCTGTCACGGAGCATGAGTCCCAGAAGACAGTGTGGAGGCAGCAAGGTTCCTGGCGGAAGAGCCGCGCCTCAGCCGAGCTCACCTGAACACTGGGCTAGGTATTGCTGGGGCAGCTGTTTTCTTCCCCAGAAAAGAACACTATGCATGTGATTAAGCTGGTATGTTTTCAGCAGCTGCAGGAACTTGAGTCGATCTTTCTTAAAACTAGTTAAAAACTACGCCCAAGCCAAGTCTTCAGTTTATGTATATTGTCAATCCCCTTAGGCCTTAGGAAGAGGCGAGCACTGGGGAGAACAGTGACTTAGATGAAAGTGCTGCTTAAGCCACAAGTCGTGCCAGATGCCACGCTCCCAACACTGTCCTCCGCCTTTTCAGCTGTGCAGAATCCCTGTCACACCGCCAGACAGAATTTATCTCAACACCTGCTTCTGAACCCTTCTGCATACTTCTGGCTCTGGGAAGAGTCGAAGTCAAGAGAGCTGCCACAGCAGGAATTGGGGAGGCTCATGCATGTCGTCCATCCCTGCGGGAGGAAAGCATCCCCGCGTTGTCCAGATGAGGCAGGAGGGTGCACAGACCAAACGCGACACTTAGACCAAGATGGAGGTCAAATTGTGTCCGTCACAGGAAAGCGTGGGAGACAGCTCTGCAACCAAGAAAGGAGCTTGATTTTGGCTCTTGTCGGGGGACCCAAAGGAGGGTCCTTAGCTGTGTCCACTGTCGCTCAAGTGTCTGCCTGTCCTCCGTGCTGCTGCTCCCCCGCTGTTCCCTGACCCGGACTGCAGCCTGACCTGCCCCCTCAGCTGCAGGACGGCAGTGCCTGCCCCGCCCCCAAGCCTGTTGCAAAGCTCTCTTGACTCATTGCGAAAGCAGCCAACCACCACCATTTCTTTCACTTTCAGAATGCCACAGCTGATGTAAATGCATCGCTAGACAGTGATTTTACATTCACAAGTGAGAAATTTCAAACCAACAGCCCCTAGTGACCATCTTGCAATGAGAGTATTCAGATCACATAAATATACTTGTAGCTGACAACAGGCTCTAAAGTTTCCCACTACATACTACATCCAAGAGAGTAACACAAAAGGGCTCCAAGACCATTTCTGAGCCAAGGCTTGATGATGTCACTTTAAAATCACTCATCTCATAAATGTAAAATCTCAAGAACAACAAAGCCTTTAAATAGCCCTAGCATTTTAAAAACTACTTAGAAAAACTTGATCACTCTGCAGGGGCCAATCTAGACAGTTATCTGAAATATAGATGTCACCTGAAAGATAATTTTTAAATTTATCAGTATCTAGTTCTCTTACCCGACTCCATCAAACCTGGTTCAGGTGCTGTTTCCCATTCTGGTTCCATTTCTGGAACAGGAAGTGGGGGGCCGCCGGATGATCTCACAGACGCAGCGGGGCGCGCCGCTCCTGCAGCCTCCCCAAGGAGCACAGGTTCGCCCTCTGGTGCCCGGGACGCTGCGTGTTCGCAGGACTCCTGCCCAGGAGAGCAAGGGACTTCCAGGTGCAGGGAGTTTTCCAAGCATACTGTTGTGGTGGAGCCTTTCACCTCCACATTTACTGAGGTATCGCCTTTTGTATCCTCAAACTGTACAAGTTTGGCAGAACCTACAGATTTTCCAGACACGCCTGAGGCCGTCTTGTCTCTTACAAGTATGGGACTAACTGGTGGTGACTGCTCATGTTCTTTAGGACAAGCAACGTGATCAGTAAAAGGGACAGCTCTTTGTTGTGGTATTTGTTCAACAGAAACAACAACTTCAATCACAGGCTCATTGTTAGAGATAGATGATATATGGACGATGGATGTAACCACAATATCAGCCTGCAAAGGAACCTTAGCAGCTTGATCATAAGCAGGAGGTTCTTGTTCATCCTGCATGGGGACTGAGGAAGTTGTTGGTGGTTTGCCCTCATAGTCTTTAGGCTCAGAACCCAAACCTACATGGACAGATGTTTGGCTCATAACCCCCCCAACCACCTTTCCAGAACACGCAATTGGAGCGGCTACCGCGTGATCTTCAGCCTCTGAGCCCAGCGCCTCCTCGGATAAAACAGGCATACTTGTAGCCACATCCACCATTAAAATGTCAGATGAATCAGAGTGATTAGATGCAACTTTACCTAACATCTGAGCAGCAAACTGAGTTGGGTCGGCTGGCACGTAGGCAAACTCTGGTGAGAGAGTTAGTGGTGGTGGTGATGGGGGTGGGATAGTGATCTTCAGGGTGGATGGCTTCGGACCACGAGCTGTGTCAGCTGCCGCCTCAGGCTCTGAGAGCAGCTCAGCATGGACTGATGGGAACTGGGTGGTTTTATCACTACATTGTGGCCTGGTTACGTTGTCCTCCTCTGTGTCTGTAGATTTTTCCAACCGTTTAGGTTCATGGGAAACTACAGATGTTCTTTCCAGTTCTTTTACACCGTTTGGTTTCTTCTTTTGTGTGGTCCTTTCTGACCATCTCTCTACTAAAGATAACAGTCAAATAGAATAATAAGCATATATTCCCCTAAATGAGAATTATAAAGAAAACAGTAATAGGCTGAGCATTCAAATGTCAATATACACTCAAGGACAGGATGGGTTCTGCTTTCTTCTCTAACATCAGTGACTTCGTGTGTGTGATGAGACTTTCCTTCCTTATCCACTCAAAAAACACTTCATTTCCTCAGGATAAATGACACTAAGTGGCACAGTGGCAAAACTAATAATCAGATTCCACCTTCAAATACATCAGCATCAAGGGAAACATAATTCTGCCTAGAAATAAGGAAGTTAAAAACCTCCATTGAAAAAACTGACCTAAACTTCCACACAAAACTGGAGAAAGGGGTTGAGGAAAATACTCCAACCTGGCTAATAAATTCTCTCTTCAAATTATCTATAATAATTAAGTAATTGAACAAATGCTGTCATATTAAGACATTCCTCAATTTAAGAAAATTGGCTTATAAAGTTTAACAATGATTTGGAAAACTAGGGGATTACAAGGTGTTTTTACTTAGGAAATGTCATATATTCTAACCTAAAATTTAAAAATGGTAGCATATGCAGACAGGCTGTGATAGTGCAGCCAAAGAAGGGCCCACTGGGCCAGAGAGGAGGAGCGAAGAGGTGGTGATCCGCAAGTGTGGACTCAGCCCTGCGACCTGAGAAAAATTCCCAGGGCTTGGGAGGCCGAGAGCTGACCACACGGCAACTCCTAGCTCTGGGCAACTGCTGCAAAGCAGCGTCAGCTTAGCCTTCTGCCCACCACTCACACACCTGCCTAACTACCCTCAGTGCCATTCATTGAATATTCTCACATCTGCCTATTACTTGACTAAGGATTTTCTCTTGGGAAAGCATTTTCCTAACATCATAATGAAATCTGCAGGAAAAGCAGAATTTGCTTTACAAGAATTTGTTTCAAAACTTTATTTGGTGACATGTTTTCATTCAGATTCCAAGGAACCGCATCCTACAGTGTCTCCTCCCACAATACCCGCTCATTTCTTGTAAATTCAAGTAAGGTGTCTAATTCCCGACATGGACCCCACACCAAAGGCTCACCTGCAGAGAGAAGTTCAAAGACGACAGGAGAGCCGCAGCTATCACCTCCTTCCTTAGAGCAACAACTTATTGTCCTAACCACTGCCTGTGGGGACTTCCCCACCTGATTCTCAACACAGCCCTCTGCCCACCAATACTCAGCTGGGGGCTTGTGCCGTGTGTAGTAAGACACCACAAGGCACAGTTAGGATATGAAGACTATTAAAACCAGACCTCATTAAGCTTATGTTCAGTAGGTTCAATAAGATATACATACAAATATTATAGGTTAAAAAAGTGTTAAGTACCTAGTAATAGTCCTAGTAAAGATCTATGGAAGCTCAGAGGAAGAACACTCCACTGGCTGGAGGAATAGGGGAGATTTTATTTCAATAAGTCTGGCCTTACACTTAGGATATAGAAATCTGAAAAAAAAATCTTTCCCATCATAATGAAGAAAAGGCTTAGAAATAGCAAAATTACAACTTCTTGAACCCATCAGAGAGCTGGGTCACAGGCAATAAAGTTCACCTGATATCCAAAGAGCAACCAGCCCTCCCAGGGAGAGAGTGGTCGGAAGAATTGTGTCCGTGTCAGGACCAGGAAAGGAGAGGCCCCCCCATACCAACTGGTAAAGAGTGAACAAAGACCATAATGTACTGGCACAGGCAGTCTGGGGCAGCCGGGCCTCCACCCCAGCAAGAGCTCACACTCACTCACAAGCACTTTGCTGTGGGCCTCACATGACAGACAGAAGGAAAAAGGGCAGAAGTGCCAAAAGAGGGATCCTACATTAACATCAGAGGTCTCCTGGCCCTGGGACAAAGGCAGGAAACACTGGCTCAGGACTGACTGCAGAGCCAAGACAGAGTTTGGCTGCCACATGGCCGACCAGCAGAACACTGAGAAAGCCACGCAGCCCTGCTCATCAGCCCAGCACCACGGAATAAGAAACAAGGGGCCCGAGTATGGTGCAGGCTGGAGAGGAAGGTCAAAAGCTGAGGATGAAGCCCAGGCATAGAGAAACTCCTCCGGCATGCCAGCTAGCAGCAGACCACTGCTAAGGGAACCCAAGGCCTGCGGTAAAGTGGGGGTAATGACGCCACAGCAAACCCCAAGCCCGCCTGCTGACTACACTGACCCACCCACCCCAACACCAACTCACAGCTTCCATAGCCGTTTTCCCCCAGACGGCCTTAAATTCCCCAACCAATGATTTACCTTAAGAGTTTTCAAGAACCCAACCTCTCTAGGGACTGAATTACTACAATCCCTAGATTGCCTGCATGGGACCTCTGTGATATATTACTTACATGACATGTTTTAGCAACCCCAGAAAGGCCAGTTGCCCTTTGAAAAGTGTCTACCTCTTAGGCCTGTCAGACCTGAAATTATATCTAGGTGGTTAATCCCTATATTAATATCCTTCCCATTTTTGCCTCTAGAAGTGCCCTATGAAATAATCACCATTCTGTAAAGTTAAAGCATCGTGTAATCATGAATTCATAACACCTCCTCAGGGGACTGCTGCCATTACTTCCTTCCCTGAAACTTTCTCATAGTATAAAAGCATATGAGAAGATCTGGAATTCAGCCCTGACAATAACTGAAGAGCTGCACGACCTTGGCCAAGTCAATGGTTCTAAGCCTCAGCCTCTTCATCAGTAAAGTGGGGATTATAAATCTGACTTCACTGAGCTTTTGTGCATATTAAATAGAATCCTTCATCTGAAACTGTTCTATAAAGTATAAATCACATATAAATGGGGAAAGAATAAATCAGCACCTACTTAAAAAGAGATAAAAATTTTGAAATACAGTACTAAATTAAAAATTATAAAGCTCCCATCTTTAATTCAGTTTTGGTTAAAATTAAATTGGCTATTCCCTAAGCTGGGTACTAAGATGCAGGGTATTCTTCCTCTCATTTACTGTATGTGTGTGTGGGTGTGTGTATGTGTATATACACATAAATATATATCATATATACTATTTTGAATAGATATATTTCATAATTACAAGATATTAAGTTGGTATCAAATGCCTTAAACTATAAGTGTTTTTGAAAATGCAAAGCACTAGATTAACTATTTGGCTTAGTTTGAATACATGAGAATGTCAGCAAATATATGCAGACTAGTCACCCTATAACAAGTTCCATATTGAGTGCCTGCTAATTATTTATTAAGAAAAGTGGAGCTTTTCTTTAATGTTTTAAGATCTGTTTTAGTAATTTCAAATACTGCTATCTTGTAACCTTGAGATTACATTTACATCGAAAACTGCATTTCTTAAAAGTTATAAAGTAAGCTCACTATGGGTAGATCTTATCAGCCTTATGAAGATTAATCCAGTATAACTTCAGTGAGATGCTTCTACTTAAACTAACAAGAAAAAGCCTGCACAGGCTCTCAGAACTGAGAAGATAGCTAAAAGCATTCTGCCCTGTAGGAGGTTTCTTTTTAAGAATAATGAAATGTCAGATTAAGATTCATAGAGCCCTGCTTTAGAAACAGTAAGATAAAGAGGTAATATTCAATACAGTATTCCTTGGAATAGGCAGAACTCATGTGGAGGCTTAGGGTGCCAGGGAGAATAAGGAATTCTGGTACTAAAGAGAAATCTGAAAGGTGTCAAAGACAAGAGGAAAACAAGAAGTAGGACATAACAGCAGGTAAGAGAGGCAAATGACAGGTGGAGAGGAGGTAAAGACTGGAGGTGGTAACTCTTCCAAGTGCCTGAAGGCAAGCATCTGTAGTATGTATGGGACATAGAGGTTTTAAGAGTTTAAAACAGAAGAGGATTCCAATGAGTGTGTTGGACTGACAGGAATGAGGAATGCTAAAGACTAATAAACTTTTCTTCCCCTCCACTCTTCTCTTTCTTCCATTTATTCTATTATGTGATAGACTCTGAGGAATCAAAAGATGAATAAGATTTCCTAAAGAGTATAGTCTGATTGAGAGTAGAAGCACAAAGTTATTATGTGACAATATGGTCAGTGCAGTGACAGAAATATGTATGGGGTACAACAGCTTTAGGTATTTTGATTAAGCTTTAAAAATGAGAAAGGCAGGTGTGAAAGGAGCCCCACACAGTTGCCCCATCAGTGATGTTGAAGAGCCCCTGTGGAGAAATGCAGGTCTAAAACCAGCCTTGTTCATTCTGATTTCCCTTATCAGAAACTCTGCCAGCCTTCCTTGGCCAATGGAACAGAAGTGGAAGTCTGTTAGGAGATTTCTTGGAAAGGTTTTCCTTTCTTAATGAAAGAAACTAGTGTCATTAATGCCACCATTTTCTCCTCCTTCCTGATTTAAATGGGGACATAATGCTGGGAGCAGTGGCATAAGGAAACAAGTAAAATATGCTAAGGACGACAGAACAGAGAGCCTAGGTGATTATATTAGTAGCAGAATGAACACTCCTTACAAATATCTCAAATTTTTAAAAAGTCACTGTTAAATTGGTTTTCTGTTAATCTATGCCAAACACTTTCCTATCTGATATGGGGCATACATAAATTAGTACACAAACATGAAAGAGTGGAGCTGGGGTACATATGGTATATATGCTGGGTATATACACTGCTTTGCAGATACAATGTCTACTTTTGTTCTATGAATTCTGTAATACCCATTTTCTCATTTGGAATTTGCTGAATTCGTTATCTTAAGATTTGGACAACTAGGTAACATCTATATTTTTTAACTTACTGTCCATAAAAATTTGGGCTGTGTCCCATACACCCCGCCTCAGTAGTTTAAGGTTGGTTATCAAGAAGATGATTCCTTTGGATTTTCTACATAACAATCATGTGAATAAAGTAGTTGTACTACTTCCTGTCCAATATGTACTCCTTTTGCTTTTTTTTTCCTTTTGTTTTCTGTTTGCCTTATTGTTCTGACTAGAACCTATAACACAATGTTGAATAGAATAG